GGGTGTGGCACTATTTCGTATTTCAAGCATAACTTTTGCATAAGACCTCCAATTGAGCTGATTCAAGTGGCGTTAGAAAGCTCACTTCAAGATCTACAACTTTTGTGAAATGAGAAATTGTAAAATTCGGGCTAAAAAGGGGTCAAAACAGTGTTTGAAGTTGGCGCTGAAGCCCAGATCGCGATCCAGCCTTCCTGGATCTCGATCTGGGGGGTCTAACAGAAGCTTTTCTTGATCAGGACCCAGATCGCGATCCAGCCTTCCTGGATCGCGATCTGGGGGTCTCACAGTGCATTTTTTGATGAAGAACCAGATCGCGATCCACCATTCCGTATCGCGATCTGGAAAGGTTGTGCGCAGTTTCCAAGGCTGCCAGATCGCGATCCAAGAAGCCCAGATCGCGATCTGGGCACAGAATTCGAGAAGGTCTGTTATTCATTTAAGAAGATCTCGACCAACTCTCGATTATCTCTCGACTTCTTCTTCGGTTTTCTCTTCGGTTCTCGCCAGTTCTTCGCGGGAAGCTTCGACGAGGGTTTCGACTCGGGTTTTTCATAAGCTTTTCTTTACGTTTAGTTTATAATTTCTCGTGTTCTTTATTTTGATGCTATGTTTGTAATGAACTGAGCATTTTCTTTTAGGGAAATGAAACCTTGTATATATTGATTTTGATTTCCAGATCTGTGATCTATTTGTCGTTCTTTGATTATGTTTATGTTTTCCTGTATTAAATGCTTTCGATTGTTTGGCCAACAGTTGAATTGATTCTAAATGGGAATGAACTCGAGAGAGGATTTCTCGTTTGATTTTAGGAAAACATAGCTCGGGTTGTGGAAACGGAGACGTGATGCACCTCGGGTAGCCCTTAAGGACTTGACCTAAATGCTCTCTTAATATCAGGTTCTGAACGGAGACGTCGGACCTGTGGGTAGACTCTAACTACACTGGAGACGGGGGTTAGGGTATTTTAGTGTATGGGTTAGCGAATATAGAATTGACATTAGATTCGGATTTGTAGATCTTTATCGATAGTACACTGGTGGATTTTACCCTAAAAGCCATCACACGTCGGAATTCCTCGCTTGTCCTGGCGGACCGTTGTTTTTATTTTTGTTTCCTTTTGGCTTCATGTCATCTCCCATTTTTTTCTCCCGTCTAGATAAAGTTTAGGATATTATAATTACGGTACTTGCTAGATTTAGGAACTTAATTCCCTGTGGATCGATATCCGGAATTCACTATTCTGCAAAACGCGATACTGTACACTTGCGGTTATTTATACGTAGGTTTTACGCGTATCAGATGTCAGTTATGTTTATGGTCCGCGGGACACTTCATTGCTATACCGCCAGTCAGAGCACGTATCCAGATCGATTACATCGGCAAACGTGGATGATACTGTGCGCGGGAGATGCTGTGATGGTTGGATTTGGGGTTTATATGGAGATGATGGTGATGATGATCCACGCCCTAGAGTGATGCAGTACTTAATTGATACTAGGTTCTATGGAGTATATAGATGTGGTCGTCTCGTAGTCCATTTGCATCTTATTGCAGCTTTAGTGGAGAGATGGCGCCCAGAGACACACACGTTTCATTTTCGAGCAGGGGAGACGACAGTGACACTTCATTGCTTACCTTCGATACCTGCCATACCACCTATACCTTCTTCGCATCGAGATAGACGTACCAGAAGAAGGTCTTGCGCTACCGAAAGAGCAACTGAATTGGAGCATGACGTGAGACAGACGAGAGAGGGGAACTAGTATGCATCTACATCTCGGGTACCTCCATCTGGAGATGTTGCCGGTCCATTTGCTTCTCATACACCCTTTTATGCAGATGTTTCTGTGCATGGAGGTATGGACGATTTATCTACTACACGGGGATTTATGGATATGTTCGGTGCGTCTACATCTCAGGTACCCACATTTACAGATTTAGTTGGTCCATCTGCGAATGATTACGTTCCAGATATGCCATGGTCCGATTCTCTAGCTACCCCATATCCTCCTGCTATTGATACTCGGTTCTCTTCATGGGGTCCACATTTGGAGCTCAATTTGGGATACTCAAGACCCCAAGAGCGGATCCGACCACAGTATAATGTTTCCCCTATTTCATATCCACCGGATGACACCCAGTTTGTTGATGATGTACCGGCAGATCCTGACATTCGTCGAGATGGTAGGCCGCGTAGGACTATACAGGCACCTGCATGTGGCACTGGTTCACATAGGCACTGACTTCATAGTGCCAATTTTATTTTCTTGTACTCATTTTGTCTTTGTACTCATTTTGAACCTATTTATTTTATATAACTCTTTTATTGGACCTATTTATTTTATATAACTCTTTTATTTTCTAGAACTCCTTTTGTTTTTGTCTACATGTTTTTAAGATTGTACCATATTTTATTGTGTTGATTAGATAAATATATGCAATGATTAATTTAACACTAATTGATCAAATGTAATAAATTTAATATTAACATCAAACTAATGAATGTAGTTAGAATTGTTTTATTTGTAAAAAAAAAATTAAAAATCAGAAAATATTAAAATAATAAAATATTAAAATATTAAAAAATAATAAAAATATTAAAAAATCAGAAAAGATTAAAATATTAAAATATTAGTAGGGAGAAGATGCCACCGGTGGCGGCGTCTCCAGTCCTGCCGCCGTTGTGGGTGGCGTCTTCACCTGGTGCCCCCGCCGGCGGTGGCGTCTCCGGCCGGTGCCGCCGTTGCAGGCGGCGGTCAACCCCAATTTGGTAACTACTTTTCTAAAAGAACACCATTTTAAAAACTACTTATTAAAGCCACACCAAAAAAAAATTGCCCCAAGTTAATATTTTTAATCAAACACTCATTCAAGAATCAAAATGGATTTAAAGGTTAGAAATGCTACTGTAGGTTTTATTGATATAAATTGCCTTCCAATTATGTAATGTAGAACAAATTTGATGGTTTTTATTTATTTTATTTTTTTCAATTTTTATTTTTTTTTGTATTTTAACCGGGAGAAGAGTAATATTTTATCTGAAAAATTTTATTTGTCTTTGCCTTAATTAAAGAAAAAAAAAAAACAATCGCCCAAATCACCTCTAATGTACTGGAAATCACACAAATAATCCCAAATATGCTGAAATCCCACAAAATCACCCCAAACATGCTGAAAATTGCACAAAATCACCCCAATAAGTGCTGAAAATCGCACAAATCACCAAGGTGAGCTGAAAATTACATAAATCACCACCATGATAGATATGGTAAATATTAACCAATATTTAAATAAAACCGATACATATGCCGGTTTATATATTTTTGATATAATTGTATTGTATCGCGATATTTACTACAACGCTCAAAACACGAGTTTCCTTCCAATCATAATGGCATGGTCATTAAAATCATATGATTTGATTCATACCCAAATCGATTCAAATCTTACATGTCAAAAATTGAACAAATCTTACGATTTAGGATTCGATTCTACGATTTACGATGTTTTCTATTTAAGAATTTTTTTAAAATACATTAAAGATAGTTAATGTAATTATTACGTTATTGTCAACACTTTATTTCCATGAAATACTATTAAATCAAATATATACAAAAAGAAAATCACAATATAGTATTACTTTTGCTTGTATTGCTCATCTATTGTTGCATTATAAAGTAGGAGAATCAATTGAAATGAGTTCAATTCTATTTTTGTTAAATAAATATTATTTTATTTTAATTAGTTCTCAAGAGATATTTGTACTTTTACTCAAATTTCTGACACACCATCGATTAGATAGCATAACCGAGCTTCTATTACGTAATTTATTTATTTATTAATTCAATCATTTTTTGATATTCTTCAAGATTCAACTTTTATAGTTTGATTTTATAAATTTTAAAAGACATGTAGATTTTGCTATAACACTATAATTTCTTTAAAATATTTATATATAATAATTATCTTTATTATTTTGAAAGAATTGCAAACCTTACGGTTTACAATTCTATTCGATTTATGATTTGTATTTTTGACAAACCGGTTTTCGATTCGATTTAAGATATTTTTTTTTTGTGGCCAAAAAGATTTTATTATTTCATTATGATAAAGCGTTTGGGGGCCTCGTTAAAACCTTTTGGGCCTAACACAAGGAAAAAGAGTACCCCTACAATGGTAATAAAAAATCAGAGACAACCCTATCGAGCCTATTTTCACAGACTGAGATACTTTAGCCCATGATCATAGCACGAAGTCTACGCAACAAGCAAAACATTATAATTAGTAAGGATGTAATTCCACTTTGCACTCTTAAAAATTAAAATGTAGGATGTGGACACTTTGCATCCTCGAAAATAGTTAATAGCACTTTGCACCCTTGAAATGAATTTTTAAAACTTAATAACAGCAACTTCATTTTTTATTGGTGTATTTTTTTCAGGTGTAAAGTAAAAAATAAATTATATATTAATAATTGGTTCATATTGTTTTAGTAATACATGATTGGTTAATTAATAAATAATTGGTTACTAATTATTTATTATTTTCTTAGTAATTAATAAATGTTGTAATAGTAGTAGAAATAGTGGTAGTAGTAGTGGTTGTAGTAGTTGTTGTGGTAGTGGTAGATTGTTCGGAATTTATGAGCAATTAATAAATAATTGGTTACTAATTATTTATTAAATATTTAGTGATTAATAAAAGTAAATGGGACCGTTAATTTCTTTTTAAGTTTACTTCCACACAAAATGAGAAAATTTTGTTGAACTTACCTAATATCCAATAGGACTGTTGATTCTAACACAATGAACAAATTCATACTCAATACCAGTTCCATATATGTGAAAAGTTTGTGCAAAACATGCTTAATCTAATGTAAATTTATATGCACAATACAATTGAAGTAAAAAACTTTGTTTATTTCTCTATTTGTTGTGAGTGTTTGATTTAAAGAAAAAATAAATTTACAACTTTATATTTCAAAGGAAAAACTTAATTTATACAAAATAATGGGTTGGATATTCATACTCACAACCATTGTAATCGTAGTATAGCCTCTCACCCTTTGCGATATCACGATTGGCAACGAGAAGCACAACGCATTCTTTGTCTACGTTGTACCTCACGCATTTTATATTTTGTTTTTTTCTCCCTTTCCTGCAAAAGATCAAATGATGTCATTAACAAGACAATATCACATATTGTATTCATTTTCTTTTAATAAATGAAAATGATCAACAATTTATTGAAAAAAAAACCAAGAACAAACATAAAATTTAAGTATCGTAAGCCTAATCGGAATATATGACTAAAAATTGAATAAGTGAGCAGTGTATCTAGTGTACGATTAGTGCATAGCTAGAACTAAACTACTATTGAAAATTAATACATTGTTCACCATTAACTAAAATGTGTTTCCATCATTCATACACACATACCAATGTCTATGTGTGTAAATGGAAGCGGATATATAACAATTATGTGCATTCACCAGGTATATCACCTACTATAAGAGAAGAAGATTGGGTTTACAGACTTACGCTGTGTGATTGTTAATGCCACTTATAAATCGGGAGATGTTTCCAAGCCTATCTGCACATGCAACAAGACTTTTAGACGGGTCGGCTGAAGAAAGGAGAGTCATCATACTGTCACAATCATCTTCCTCCCGATTTCGTATGTAATCAACGTCGCCCACAAATTCAGCGATCAAAGTCATATCCTTTATGGGCTCGTCAGCTTCTACAGTATACGTACATACAAGTTTCACCTTGATTTTATAATTAATTGTATTCAACTAACCTCTGCCACATGTAATCGGCGCCTTCTTTTTCACCATTAAATTTACACGTGACAACAATCAAATTCAAATCAATCTAAAGATTCAATATAATTTTTTTTCGTATTGACGTATATATGATATTAGGGTTATATAATTTACTATATATAATTGCATGATCATATAATAACAAAAAGAAAAAAAAAACAATTAAGTACCCTTCCAATGAATCAAATGCTACAACAAGAGGTGGGAATTCGCCTCTTCTATACAATGCCCTACAGTTTTTTATGGTCTCTACGTCTTCTTTGCAAAGAACCTGATGAAAAAATTAAAATGAGCAGCCAAAATGGAAACAAATAAATTAATTAGAGAAGGTTTCTAATTAAAATTGAACCTGCATGCCCCCGTTTTCGAAAGAAGATCGATTGGCTGATCTAGGAGCCATGTTAGGGCTATAAGTGAGTTCGTTACTGTATTCCAAATTCTGTGAAGTCAAAGCCATGGCAAGAGATCTCATCTGACCTAATCTTCTTGCAGGATCTTGTGATGGAATATGTGTCAATAATCTTCTTCGTTTCTTTCGCAATTGTAATGTGCTTGTTCGTCTACGTCGTTTCTTGGTATCTGAAACTAAGCGATACCGAGAATTAAATATATAATCAAAACATATCAAAGCCTTTTGGTTGTCACCTTCAATGGTCGAAATAAGATTAAAGCTCAGTAAGATAAAAGGCATATATATTCATGCACATATTGCTATATATCTACATAATTAGTGGAACGATAGATATGCAAAAGGCGGCCAAAGTAATTAATTAATCTCAGGTTTGAACCAAATGAAGTATTATCACTACAGAAGTTGGATACTAATTAATGGTGAAAATATCTTATATTAATTGAAAATAATAGAATATAATGTATTCGTGATCTTGAAGAAATTTCTCAGATAATAATAGAATGATAAGGCTAATGAAAATTAGGACTAAACTTATAAATGAGTAGGTATTATTACAAAATCTTTTGTTTAGCTGTATATATATGAGAGACCATCCGTACCAAAAGTTCTTATTATACCATAGCTTATAATTCATAGTTCTTCTTAATGATTCGACGGAAATAAATTTATCTCGTTTTGGTGATTTGATGCATGAAAGTTTTTAAAACACGTAAGCCATGAATGCGATCGTCTATATACGCATTGTTAAAACACGTGTCTATTAATGTCATCTTGCCGCCAAAAAAAAAAAAAAACATAACCGTTTTCTGGACACGAAAAAATGCGAAATTAAACGAACTGAAAATTCTTCATATAGAACAGTGAAAAAGTATACCTTTGGGTTCACTATATTTTTTCACTATTTGCATGACCAAAATATTTAGAATACATTTACGTAATTACAATTACGATGTTCATTAATATTGAATTGCATGAATTATCAACATATAGTTTTGATTTTTCATTCCGATTTTCGAAATTTCGATTTTTTTTTTTCCGAATTTATTTGGAACGGAATTGGAATAGTATATAAAATTATTGGAAATTCCTATTTCCGATCTGATATGAGTTCTAAATATTTCTATGATTTTTCGAAATATATAATATAATTTTATGATGTATTTTGTAATTGCATAATATAACTTATTTTATATTTTATATGAAAAATATAAATAGCTAAGGCTTAATTACATGTGTGTTTTTATTTAGGGGTAATGGCAAATAGGCTCATGACAAGGGCACTTAATTAAAAGAGGGACATCCAACTTTTTTGTCTTTCAAATAAATCCAACCCATTCAAACTTATTTACAAATAAGGAAAATCATTTTATATATACCAAAATTACCCCCAATTCATTGAAACTCAATTTAACTCCAATTTCATGATTTACACCCCAATTTAGCCCAATTTCATGAATTAACCAATTTTAACCCTAATTTCAATTTTGACCCCAATTTTGACCCGCCACCACCGGAGACCGCCGGTCGCCGCCGTTGCCGGAGACCCGGCAGTTGACCGGCCGGAAAAAATTTTCAGGAAAAAAAATGTTTCAAAAAAAAAAAAAAAAAAAAAGTCAACGCCGGAATCTGGCCGGAAAAAAAAAACATTTCAGAAAAAAAATTATTTTCTGAAAAAAAAATTTTTGGGGGTTAATGTGATATATTTGTTTAAATTCGGGGTCAATGTGTAATATTAAGGAAGTTAGAGTATAATGGGTGGAATTGATAAGAATTATATTATTGAGGATATTTTATTGTTTTTTTTTTGTGGACCAAAATGTATTTAAATCCCATGTGATGGGCCTTTTTGCTATTTGCCCTTTTATTTATTGTGTTTTGTTGAACTCTCTTTTGTTTTTTCTTGCATTTCCCTGCTAAAATTAAAAAAAAAAAGGCATATTATAAATAAGCTCATCAATGGGTACTTATTCATAAAGAGATCCAGACAAAAATCTCTTTTATCAATAAGTTCACACATGCTCCACATTTTTGTAAATGACTAAAATAACCCCTCATACTTTAATATGCTCCAATTTCATCCTTAACTTAATTTAACTTCAATTTGAACCCAAATTTCACAAATTATTCAATTTTGACCCAATTTTTTTTTTTCAATTTTTTTTTATTTTCAAAAACTTTTTTTTTTTCCGCCGGATTCCGGCGTTGACCAGCGGTCAACGCCGGTCTCCCGCGGTCAATTTTCAACTTTTTTTTTCTTTCTGCCGAAGTTTTTCGCCGGATTCCGGCGTTGACTTTTTCAAAATTTTTTTTTTTTTTTCTGTTAAAACAACAATATTGCTGTGATTGACAGTAATATTAACTATATTACTGTTAAACACAGTAAAATTAACTAAACTATAGTTTAACACGGTAATATTGCTATATTAATCTCTAACACATTAATATTAACACAACAAAACTCATTATTATTGTGTAATAAAGTAATATTACTATGTTGACCGTTCAACAAATGTAAACATAATAAAAAAAAACCAAAAGAATTAATATTACTGTGAGTGACAGTAATATTACTATAGCAACGGTAATATTACCGTCAACCACAGTAATATTACAATAATACACAGTAATATTATTACCTTACTCCGTGAATAACTCAAACAAACAAAAAATCCAAACAAAATAATAATATTGATGTGGTTGACAGCAATATTACTATAACAACAATAATATTACCGTCAACCACAGTAATATTATTGTGTTTACAGTATATTACAATAATAGACAGTAATATTATTACGTTACTCTGTGAATAACTCAAACAAAACAAAACCCCAAAAAAATAATAATATTGATGTTGTTGATAGTAATATTATTGTGTTTACAGTTATTTTACTGTCAACGACAATAATATAATTACGTTGACTTGTCAACAAATCAAACAAAATAAAAAAAACAATAAAAAATAAAAAATAATAATATTACATTAATTTACTGTCAACGGCAGCACAATTACATAAATGTAATGTCAACGGCAGTACAATTACGTCAATTAACTATCATTGACAGTATAATTACGTTAATTTACTATCAGTGATAGCACAATTACGGTCAACGTTTAGCGGCGGGCGTGGAAAAACAAAAAAACCAATAAAAAAAAAAAAAAAAACTAAAAAAACACTAAAAAAAGTCAACGTCGGAGACCGCCGGAAACTGGCGAAAAAATCCGGAAGAAAAGAAAAAAAAAGAAAAAAAAAAAAAAAAAAGTCAACGCCGGAAACCGGCGAAAAAATCCGGAAGAAAGAAAAAAAAAAGTTGAAAAGTCAACGCCGGAGACCGGCGTTGACCGCCGGAATCCGACGGCAAAAATTTTTTTTGAAAAAAATAATTTGGGTCAAAATTGAGTAATTTGTGAAATTTGGGGTCAATTTGAGATTAAATTAAGTTAAGGATGAAATTGGAGCATATTAAATTATGCTCCAAAAAAAGTCAAAATTGAATTTTTGTGGTCAAAATTGGATTTTTGTGGACAAAATTGATAAATTGGGGTTACAATTAAGAATTGGGTATAAATGGTTGAGGGTAATAGTGGGATATACATGAATGTTTCCTTTAGTTATAATAAATATTAAATGGATGGACTTATTGGTGAAAGAGATATGTCCCCCTAAACCTAGAATAATAAACATGCTTGGTTGAGGACTTTTGCATAAAAACTCCAAAAAAAAAGATAGAGATATTATAAAAAATTTCATTATATCCGAATTTGGAACAAGAGATTATAAACTAATGTAATTTATGAAATTTCCGAAATTTTGCCGATTCCGAGGCATTCCGAAATCGGAATGAACTTTTGCATTGCGGTTTTTTTGGAACGGAATTGGAACACATTTTTTTTTTCCGAGAAAAATTGGAAATTTTCCGAAAAAGTCATTTCCGATCTATTCTATCCGATTCTCACCCATAATTAAAAGAGAAAAAATCACGTGAGGGTCAATAACCTCTCTCTCTATCTCTCGATCTCTTAATGTTTGGTGATTTTTGAGTGTTTTGATGTTTTTATTCAAATTAGTTGATTTGCACTAAAGTAATTTCCTTTTGTTTTGATTTTGCAATTGCAGCTTAATGAAGGCCATTGATCCTTTCCTTGAAGGTGTCAAATTTTTGTTTTTTTAAGTTACATCAGATCTGTTCAACAGACTGTATACATTACTATAGTAACATGTAGTTACATGTTGTTACATATGCGTATATTTATGTATTTTCGATTTGTATTTTATTGGTTCTGATGTGATTTGTAATAAAAATATTTAAATTTGTAAATTTTTGTTGGGGTTTTATGAATTTATTTTGTATAAGTCAGTATTCGTGTGTGTATACAATTGATCGACTAAAAATATGGGGAAAAAACGAACATAACTATGAATTACTATAGGTATTATAGTTACATGTAGTTATTTTCAGTACTGTAAACATATTGTTTTGAAAATTAAAAAAAAATTAAAAAATAAAAAATAAAAAAAAATAAAAAAATTAAAAATATATATATATATATATATATATATATATATATATATATATATATATATATATATATATATATATATATATATATATATATATATATATATATATATATATATATATATATATATAT